CCTGTATAGTGGCAAACTAGGGGATATTTCAATAAAACTTAGCTAATAGACCAAATTCCATCTTACTTTTGAGGTCGGTTTTTTTAGTACTCTGTACTGATTATTCTTCGTGTTAATGTTATGTCCGTCACCGTTTTTCATTTCATAAACGTACTGTGACGTTTTAGACTTATCTCTCAAAGACACTGTCGAGCTCAGATTGTAAATAGACCTAACCGAAAGTTTAAAATCAAGCAGTAATGCTCACATTACTGCTTGGCGGCAGAAATGGGTAAAGTGGCAGTACTTCTTAGAATTCTTTCATAACTCTTCTGCTTCTAAACCACTACTATGATGATTGCCATCGTGGTGAAAGGCATTGCTTGTAGAGGATGTATTCTAGGATACGCCAGCCGTACGAGAAAGGAAAACGGAGAGATTCCTTCCAGGCAACCCTGATAGAACCATAGATTCTTTCAAAGGATTTTTGATCTTATATCCTTTGGAGTAACTACTAACCTAATGGTAACAGGAGACAACAGCAAGACAGTGGTGACGTTATCCAAAAACGTCGATAAAAATGCAGTGATGCCGCCAAGTAGAAGTATTAAAGGCCAAAGTCTGCCTTTTGTAACCTGTAACAAAATAAATGCCTTCTTTGCTTTCAAGATGGTAACAAACAACCGTGCTTTCTTTACGAGACCAGAAATCAACCGATCGTCATTTTTTTATAATATCAAGGATATGGGATAATAGAAAATGAAAGTATTTTTCCGGATTTAAATAGCGTATTCTTTAATATTTTTTTTATTTAAAGCCGACGTTTCGGACTCTTTACAGGTCCCATGGTCACGGTTGAATGTGTCAACAGTCAAAGTAAAAGCATAATTAATTATTAAAGTAATCTTAAGAGGGCGCAGAGGAAAAATTTCTAATCTTCGATTTGATTTTAGAGGGGTATATCCACTTTAAAGTTAAAAATAAAATATTGTATGAGTAACTACACGATATAATCAAGCATAGACATTAATCAGAAACATAAAACAATAAAATTTCCTCGATAGACAAAAATCACGAAATAACCTCTAATTTTCACATTTTTTCGATTTATCCTCGAAATGCTATAGTTTATGAGGACAAAAATAAGATAATTAATTATATTTATGCATAATCGACAACTGTCACTACGGATTTGTTTTTTAATCACTTTAGTTTTAGAGTTATTCCGCTAAAACGAATTTGGTACTTTTAATGCGCAAAATTCAACATCTTGTGTCGCAAGTCACGCGAACTTCAGGCATATATTTGTTTCACAATTATATGCCTGAAGTTCGCGCTGAAATTTGGGCCGAGCCAACGTCAAAACTTTTTTGGCATGCTCCCTCTTAAAACTAAGTTTATATTTATGTTGCATTTACATGACGTTGGTATTATTTACTTTTTTTCTTACACATTAACTATTATTAGGTAACTATTGTACAAACTAAAATAAGTAACTAAGTAAAATGTAATCATATTAACTTACCAAACTGTAATATCGTAACGCGGTCGTGAGTAAAAATCGTAACGACTAAATGTGTCGCGGACCGCTATGAACACGGCAGCGTACACGCATTGACGCGAGACGCGATTGGTTAGCGTCTGCACCTACCTTCACTAGGAGTGAGATACGCTGTCATGCTGAGAGGCTTTTGTCTATCGCTCTGCGAATTGTTTATATTTTGCCTATTTCTGTCGCTGTGCTATTTTCCTAATTTCTTCGCCTTCGTCTTCTACTTCTTTGCGTGTGTAATCTATCATCTATATTGCTGTGAACTGTTTCTATTGTGTGCTTGTAAAATAACAATATACTTAAATTAAGGAGTGGAACTGTATCCTGTTTTCTTGATGCTACACAACCTTTTACCTACCTTGAGACCGTAAGTCCACCACATGTGTAACAATCGCGAAAACCCAAGAGCTCAATATGTGGGAAAATATATTTTTTATTTTATTGACACGTTTTCTTTCAAAATCATTCACAACAATGAAAGTTCTCTGTATCTATAGATACAAGCCCTATAGGGCTTCATTTACTTTTGTGTACATAATGGCTATTAGACATTGGTTTGAGAATAATTTAGGTAAATCCGAGTTACCTACAAAACAATTTTTGACCGCTGTAAATGGACCAGTCTGTATGTATATGCATGCATTATTTAATTTCTATATAAAAGTATAAATTAATCGATGCTCCTATCACCCATGCATATTTACCTAATTTTAAGGAAATCTATTTTGATATAAACTGGCAGCACATACGGATTCATTTCAAGGTTTTGTGTTCCGAGTGAATCTCAATAAATATTGGATTATTAATGACAAAACAGTTAAATAATCAATAGTTCCCTGTGAAAAGATATTCCACTTTATTTTTTTTTTGTTTTCGGGAACAATTTTTACAATATTTAAAGAGATAAAATGGTATTTTAAAACATAAAATAACTAATCACTCGTGACGTGCAAACAATGCGACGCTGTGCTTAGTACTGACGCGAGTTTGTATTCGCTTTTGAATTTGTATTTGCTTTGGTGGCTTCACTTTCGTGTTCCGCGCGTTCCATCTGCCTATATTTTGTAATCCGAGCCGTGTACTTATTACCAAATTAGAAAACTACCTTCAGGCTATTATAACTAAATTTGCTTACCTCAAAAGTAAACACAGCCAAAAAGTCAAAGATACCAGTTTCCGCCATAATCGCTACTAATAGCATCATGCCAAATAGCAGCAGTAAAGTTTCCCCATCTAGCCAGGATATTACTTCTGGCAAGGATGGTCTTTCCCCTGCTAAGGATAGGGCGGCCAGGGAAAGGGTTGCAATCAAAATCGCAGCCATTGTTCTGTTTATTATCTGTAAATTTAAAGCAAATTTGATAAACTTTAAAACTGTTACATAGACATATAAATGTGTTTTTTTATTAAAAAATAATTTCGCGCCTGACCTCCAATTCACCTGATGTAAAGTGACGATGTCAACGATGGAGCACGCACACCTAAATAATGCCTATTCACTCTCGCCTCGAAAAGGCCCAAGTTATAGTGTTCAGGGAACAAGTCTCCAGGCAGGGAATTCCACTCCATAGCCGTTCACCATATAAATGTGGAAGAGTAACGCTTTTAGTGCGAATCCTTGAAATGTCCACAGCTGCTAACAGATTGACTGCAGTTAAGTCGTTATCCGAGACCTCGACTGCATGAAGTTGATTTGACTTCAATCTGTTAACAGCCGGGGTGGAACCTCAGGCTGTGTCTGGTCCGCCGATAATGGAAAGGGGAAGGCGGAATTAAATCGTGCAATTCCCTCGCACATATATGACTATACGAGTAGCGTAACTCTCCCCGCTTTAGCACTTCAATACCTACACGTACCCGGAGCATAGGTTGTCAAATAGATATTTTAGTCGTATCTACACATCGAGTATATAACCAGAAATAGACACAAAATGTTATTTAATTTGTTTGAAAACTATTCTGCCATATCATTACGGTGATAACTGCACTCCGATTGGCCAGCCTGAATTCGAAACAATTGACGGATACCGTTAATTGTTTCACTTCAAATCGGCCAGTTTAACTTGAGCTTTGCTATAATTGATGAAAATTGAAAAATTACATATTTATATTTAATTACCGATGAAATATGATTCCGTTTGTTTTGTAATTGGATGTTTTACTGTTTTCCCAACACCACCGAATGAAACAGCCACAGTTAGAGATATTATCTTTATTACAATAAATACAGAATATTTTTGGAATATACGGAGACGTACCTACACACAGGTCAGTTGTTGGCGCTGTACTATTTCAGCTTTCTAATTTGTGATTTCGGTGCAAACGAGAGTTGATATTTAAAAGTAATATAAGGCCCATTTGCCTGATGAAGTTACCAGGCATGAAGGGCCCTTATTTCGTCTCTATTTCTGGTTATATACTCGATGTACCTACAGGTCGCATTCCAATTGAAAAAATTAAGGTATTCCTCTCTATTCTCGTGTTATATTGAAATAACCTTTAACAAATGCAGTGCTAACATTGATATTTTTATACCAGCTATATCTAAATTAATGTGCGATAATGACTTATACTAGATAAGCAGTTATTCTGTGTGTTCGTTGCAGGACTTACTCGTTTGTGACCATAACAATCCAGCCGATCCCCAACACACGTCTGTAAACCTACATTTCGAAAGCGAAAGCTATACATCTGCGATGATCTTCCCTAGTAGTTTAGGCTGCACATCCAAGGCGGACAGGAGACAAGTACGTAAAGAAACTCTGAGACTGCGAAAGAATTTGATAAAGAGATGAAAATTATAGAGCTTACCTCAAACATTATCAACACGTACAATCCAGTAAGTAAAACTAGAGCATATACTACGCTTGTTTTGGCATCTAGTGGATCAAAAAACATGCTCATTGCAAAAGGTACGGTTTGCGTCGAAGTCGTATTCATTCTAATGGAAGAGACTGCGGTAGATTGAAGTTTAAAGGTGTGAGAGTAAGGGTCTCCGTCGTTGAAATCGACTTTGTCTTGGAGATAAAGTATCCAAGGAGTAGATTCCTGCAAGAGAATCTACATTAAAATTTTTTGAAGACTGGTGAAAAGAAATATGGAACAAAATATTAAACTACGAACAAATTTGATACGGACTTTCTTGTTGCTTTTCGACTAGATGTTACTATTGTCAGTACTCAGTACTGTGTAGTGAAAGAGGTATTCAGTGAAGTACTGCCATCATATTGCCTATTTCTGTTCCGGTTTGGAAGGGTATGGATACTGGTTGAACTATAGACACATGCGACTTGTCAACTTGATATCTTAGGTACCGGACGCAGTAGGAGCTCCCCTCAGATTTTTGCGATTTAAACCTTTGAGTGGTACTACAACTGTTACGGGTCCCATCATTTGATGTTATACAAGTAAAACAAAAACACAAGTTACTTCAAGTCTAATTAGCCCGCATTACGACTTACCATTTTCCCAAGAACCTGGCTTTCGTTACCCTCCAATGGCTCAACCCATACAGTCATCCTGGAAATCTTGTCAAGCTCCGTTTTATTCAGTTCCATTTTCCTCTGTGGTGATATGAAAGGCCCGAAGAGGGTAATTTTTATTGAAGAGTCTGGATTTGTATGTGGGACTGCGTAGCCTAGAAAGAAATGTATTAGTGAGCTTCACTTGCTGCAGAGCTTCTTATGGGAGAGTTCGTCCAGGGTAGCTTTTTAATGTAAAGTAGGAAGCAAACAAGCAGATAAGCCTGTTCAGCCAACCACAACATCAGAGGAGCATGCTTGAGTGCTTATGCGTTGTCAGCGTTTGAGAGGTCTGTTGACTCACATTTTGAAGAACCTAATGTCATAACGCAGAGGAAATACTTCAGGAGGAAGACCATTCCACATCTTGCATGTTCAATGGCAGGAAGGCTCGAGATGCCTGCGTGGTCTTGCAATGCCGGGCATCAAGAATGTGGGGATAGGCTCTTTTCCTTTGGTCCACTACCTTATACGTCTCACCGCTGGCTACTGATCTCCTCTAAAGATAGGGTTATGGCGAACGCTAACCTGGCTCCAAGTAGATTGGGGCTTTCGTGCGTTTTCCAAGGGTTATGAACCTTTTTCAGCATATAGGTTGCATCACGATGTTTTCCTTCGACGTTAGCGATATATTTTCTACTAAATATTGACAAATATGTAAATTAGAAATGAGGAGACCAGGGAAAGATTGAACTTCTAAGGTCACTTAAAAACATGTTTTGAGTTAATACAGCCATCTAATTCGCAAAACGCTGTGAACGATCACTTATCTCCTTACATCGTTATCGCACCTTTTTATCGTCTTTTTTCCGGATTCCGGCCACTCATTTTTAAATTTTGAATCGTTCTTTAATTACTTTGCCTCGCCGTTCTGATTTTGTTTCTTTCCATCGTCTCTCACTGCCCGATCGCGGCAGCAAACACGTCTTCTCGTTAATTTTTTGGACCGTTTACCAGTTACCAAAAATGTCTTGTGCGATAAACATTTTAAAGATCTCAAATATTAATAGAACGGAATAATATTTATAAAATTGGATTTATTACCACTATTTCTTTACCCTCTTGAATTTTGAACTTTAAACTCGCTAAGTAAGATGTGTGGAGGCTGTGGAAGCTACTACACTCTCCTGACTACATTACAATCCTACAGAACATTCCAAGCGGTACCGGCAGCGGTACACGCGCTTCAACGCTAAGCGTATTTTGCCTAAATCAGGAAAAGGGTAATAGAGTTAAATATCATGAAAAATTCTCTTTTAGTTTTAGACATAAAATGCTTGAGACTAAATGGTAGAAGATTTAGGTGAATGGATTACATAGGATTATATATTATTATGTCAACACTGACTTTATTTCAGGTAGCGTCTCTTCTTTCACCAACATTGAACATATTTCCATATTCAACATTTATTTTTCCTAAAGTTCTCCTCAAGTGACTTATGAAGTCATAAATACGTGAACTACTCAAATGCAGAGCTTCATATCTAGAAGTAAATGTTATAGGTATGCCGTAGGACTTACGTTTATCTTCCCCAAAAGAGATTACAGAATTCTTTATAATCTGATCTGTTTCGTTGTAAAGAAGAAACACAGACGTGAAAAAAATCCAGCATGCTAGCAATATTGTCATCTTTGTGCAAAATTTTGCCTTGTCAATCTGAAATTAGCATAAAATATATAAGCGATATTACGCGGCTGAGGTGCGTAAGCGCTATTCTAACGGTCTAGTAACTACGAACATTTTCGCTTTGTGTGTCCATAAACATGGACGTCGTTAATAGATGGCGCTAGCATTCCTTTTTAAAGCAAAAATTTACTTCAAATCATTAAAAAAAAGAAAAGAATAAGTTGCAGACTTTGTGTAAGTATAGGGAAACAGTACTTCCCGCCTTAGCCACCAGAGGTCACGTGCGCTGATGCTCTATACCCGTTTTGTATAATGTACTCTTTGATTACCTTAAACATGGACTGATAAACAAATACTAGCGCCACCTAGTGGTGACGTGTAATTACATTGCAGAAATTCAAGTGAAATATCCATTATATTATAGCACAGATTACTTATTACTTACTACGTAACAGATACATCACTCCCATACAAAATCGAAAATAGTAACCTACTATATCTGACTAATGGTACAGAGGCCAAAATAACGTTGCCCGCCATGTGCAGTCGTGTGGAGCCGAATGACTTGTAAGTCTTGAAAGAGCGCTTGCGCCGACGTCGGCGCACTCAGCGGTTGGCTCTTATCGCGTAACCTTGAGGAAGTGACGGATAGCGGGCAGTGCGCCCAAGCGAGCTTTTTATTAATAAAAGTCAGAAGTACATTTTTACACTTTGGACTTTGCACCGTTCTTATCGTAAGTGTTTTAAAGTTGAATTTGAATCTTAAATGTCAAACTTTGTTTGCTCTTCATAATAAAATCTTCGTGAAAATACTTACTTTAGTTTGTTTTGTTTTCTGAATACTTGTATGGTCTTGTTTGGGGAGTCTGAAAATTGAAAAAGAAATGTAATTTAATACGAAGGTTCACACAAAGAGAGCAATTTCACAAAAAAATATACAAGACAGTATAAATAAATTTTGCAAAGAAAGGTAATATATATTTTGTACACTCAACAAGACATCAAACTTATTCATACTTGTACGGATTTTTTCCTAAATGAATTGTTATTATTTTTTAATAAATAATAAAATTTACTTTTTAATTTCTATTTGTTCGAAATTCGAATATTGTCTCCAGTGCAACGGTGCAACCATTTATGCCACGTAATCAGAGATGGGCAATGGATAATTATTAATTTAAATAGGGTTAAAAACCACTAATGCCCGAAATCGAGGGCAAAAACTATTTATAACAAAATATTTCTTGTGAGTCGAGTTTTGTTTAAATTTAATGATATTATTAAAAAAATTATAACGACCTAGACGATCTAGATTTGAATTTCTATTGAATCGATTCGCTTGAAAATTGATTTGAAATAAATCGATTTAAAAAAACGTTAGATCATATGCACTTGAATCGAGCTTTATAAAAATTTAATCCTTAATAGTGATAGTCAACAGGATTGCGAGATGGGTATTGTGAGGAGTTGCCCCTTTTCGTCTAAAGATTTTTTTTCAAAGTGACGATGAAGCGTGCACACCTAAATAATACCTGTTCACTCTCGCCTAGAAAAGGTCCAAGTTATAACGTTCAGGGAACAAGTCTGCAGGCAGGGAATTCCACTCCATAGCCGTTCGCCATATAAATGTGGAAGCGAAACGTTTCATGCGAATTCTTGGAATATCCACAACATAGGGGTGGAACCTCTGCCTACGCCTAGTCCCCCAATGAACAGAACTAATTAGTGCAATTCCCTCGCACACTCTCCGTGATATACCCGTAGAATACCGATAAGCAGGCAACTTTACGGCGGTGTCCAAGGTTCTGCAGCTTCGCCTCTACTCATTCTGATTTGTAACACGTATGTAATTATATCACATTCAGTATTAACCGTTTCTGCCCATGAATTTTGGGCAGAAATGGGTTAAAACCCGGTTAGAACCCAGGCGGGCGGAGTATATGATAATAGTTCTAAGTGTTATTTGTAGTCTGTATGGTCTGAATCTATGTATTGGTATGAAAATTAGACGTCGGGTGATAGGCAGATAAATGGTAAAATAAAACATTTACAATTAATATATAAACTTAGAAACTGAATTGCAGACTCCGCATGCGCATAAAGATAAAAGATGTCTTCTATAAACAGTCAAATTACTTTTAGAAATGACGTTAGCAGTTATCTTTAAACATGTGATGATGACCATCGTGCATAATAATGCTGTAGTAGCTTGTAACGCTCAATTAAACAACAATGTCGCAAGTTTCACTGTGATAAAGTAAAGGATAGTGTTACATTTATAAATAAATGTACATACAATTTAAAACAGCGTTTTGCATTTCGTTAACAATCGGTAGATAGGAAAAAAGATTCTCTTCTCTCGGAAGTTCTGTCCATTGTGGTACAAGAGAAAAGTTTCTCTATTACTCTGAGTTATGTCTATTATAATGTTATTATAGCACCTTAGTCAGTATTATGAGAGAAAAATTTTTGTATGATCGTGACTTTTGTTTATTATAATGATGTAGAAGTACCATACTCAGCATACGAGGGAAAAGTTTCTGTATGAGCAGCATTGACTTACAATTATATGGACGTCGGGTCCTCGCTAAAAAGTGTCCGCACTTGTAAGGCACTAAAATCGTATACAGAGCGCCAAACTCCGCTTTAGTCTTCATTTGTTCTACTGACAGCGCGATACTGCGATGACATTACAATTTAAATTTCGAATAGGTTGACTTGGGACATTTTTTTCGTGGTTTTTGTATTAGACCCGTCGTCCATTTATTTGTAAGTCAATGATGAGCAGTGTAAATTTTGTTAATTATAATGCTATAGAAGCACCATACATAACGTACGAGAGAAAAGTTTCTCTACTATAAATTTAAAAAAATAAAAATCCTATGTTTTCAGATCAATTAATCCATAGGATTTTAGTAACAGAAATACTTTAAATTATGTTAGTAAAATAATTGAAAAATGTTGCAATATCACTATTGTATTATATGCAAAAAAGATGAGGCTGAGGATAGCCGAGTACATTCTATTATTTATTATTATTATAATCTTCTATCTTTGTCTATTATAATACTATAGTGGCACCATAGTCGGTATACAAGAGAAAAAATTCTCTGCTGTGGCCAGTTTTTTAACCGACTTTAAAAAAGGAGGAGGTTTTCAATTCGACTGTATGTTTTTTTTTGTATGTATGTTACACGATAACTCCGGTATTTGTGAACCAATTTTGATTGAAATGATTCTTTTTTTGTTGGAAAGGGGGTACTTCCATAATGGTCCCGTTTCATTTTGAACAAAATGAAACGGGAACGGGACGGGGAATGAAAATTGAAGATTCATTTATATAAATAGCGCCTAAATCTTACTTAAGGAGCATTTATTTTAATGGTTGATTTTGCTATTTCTCCAACTCAAGGTGTTTTTTTTCTCAATATACTTTGAGTAGTGAGAACCGATTTTTATTATCTCCAGTGTCAAGTCCTGTATAGTGGATATTTAAGGATATTTCAATAAAACTTAGCAAATAGACGTAATTCCAAGTACGTTTGAGGTCGGTTTTTTTTAGTACTCTGTACTGAGATTATTTTATTATGCTGTAGTAGCACCATAGTATAGAATACGAGATAAAAGTTTCTGCATCGCTTATAATAGTGCACAGAGGTGCTAGAAAGCAACAAAATTTATACACAAGAAAAAAATTATTTTGTGAGTTGTTTTTCTTCATATGGAAGATATTATATACTTACATAACAATTTCATTGTCATCCTCAAAATTCTCTTTGTTCCTAAGTTCCAGACCGGTGTCAGATGTCTGATCATCGCTACATTCGGTGTCTTCAGGCAACACTTGGAGAGTACTTAGCAGAGGTGCTGATTTTACTGGTAATAGTATCCTCGTTCTCGAGTGCATTGGGACTGCATCCTGACTACCTGAGAATTGGGAAATAAATTTAAAGAAGTCCGTTATCTACCCAGGATGCTGCGAGAGGCCATTGAAATTAAAAAACATCCTAATTTCAACAGGGAAGATGGTTTCTCTGTACCACCAGTTTGGGATCCAGTATTTCCTCTAATGAAAAACCCCAAACAGACATAAGACTGCAGTACTAATTAATATGTTTTAGTTTATTCTAATTTCTATTAATAATTAATAATAAATTGAACTTAATAAAAATTCATTCAATAAAATAATTTGTAAAACTTAATATAGCGTAAATTGGAATGTTTTCTTTGTAAAATTAAAAATAAGGTATT